CACACGCTGCCTCGTCTCATAAGAAAGAGAGCACATGGCAGCGGGGAACGGAACGGCCTACGACGTCGGAGGGAGACAGACGAGGGAGGGAGGGAGACGCGGGCACGGTAACGGCCAGAGAAGGAGCTGGGACGGGATGGGAAGGGCCGGCCGGAACGGCCGTGGACAGGCCTACAACGGCACAGGACAACCTGGGACCGCGTTGGCCCTGGCGCTGTCATTCAAGCTTTTTCAAACTGGGAGTCTGACATTACCGCTTGCTCCTGTTTCTTTTGCGTTTTCGAACTGTGCCCGTTCCTGCAGTGCCATTTCGTGTTTTTTTTTGCCTATTGCCGCGTCCGCCGTTGTTTTCTTTTTTGATTTTTTGTTTTTTGTTTTTGACTTTTAAGTTTGGTTAGGAATTCTGACATGACTCTGAGGCAAAAGTGGTTTGAATTGTTATTCTGCATAGCATACTTTTTTTTCAGTTTTTTTATTATTATTCTTTTTTAATGGTCCATTCATTTCCGGACCTGCTTACCGGTCCGGACCGTCCGGAACCGTGCATGTCCAGAGGTCCGGATGTGTCTGGAAGTCTGGACCCGACCGGACATGCATCTGCTGCCCTGACATGAGCTGTCGGGGTCCGGGTCCGGCATAGCAATGCTTTTTTTCCTTCTGCCTGAATGGAGGAGGCAGAAGGGCGATGCTGTGGCAGCCATGACGTTGCTTCAGTTCATGTTTCATTGGCACATTGTGTCCTCCATGAGAGTATGGCCTCACATAATGTCCTCATTTGTTTCCTATAGCAAAATGTGCTTCCCCCCCCCCTTTTATGTCGAAAATGAAGGACCCCTTGTTTGAAAAGCAAGAAACCCCTCTAAATTTGGGACACCGGAAGAAGAAGACAAAAAGTTGAACAGAACATTTCTTGTTGACCATTGGGAGGAGATGACAGGTTTTTTTTTTCAGACGATGACGGACCTCTTTTCATCGCGTTCTGTCGATGCAGTTTCCTCCGGAGCCTTAGCAGACTCTGTGAAAAATGCCTCCCTCACCATCTGGTATCGTCTTCCGCCAATCCAATCCTTGAGTTTCTCTAACTGCCAGGGTGCACAGCAAACACAATTGAAATGGACGCCATCCAAATCTTAGAGAACCTTGCTGCTTCTTCTTCTTCTTACCTTCTTTTTTTTTTTGACACAACACAACACACACCCACACCCACACCCACACCCACACCTTCACATCTATTCTGGGGGCATCAGTCCAGTTGCACACCACTAGCAAGCAAGTTCAGATCCAGATGCAGACAGGAAAATACAAGATAGATCTTAGAGCCTAAAAAGACCTTTCTGTAAGACTGCATGTACATAAATTAATATGAAGAAATGCTGTGCTAAAAACCTGGTAGGACCGGGGGGTCCTCCCCCAACCGGAACCGGACCGGTCCTACTGGCCGGTCGACCGGGCCGGCTCCCCCCGGTTGGCTGT